TTGGATATCAATTTGAAGATTGGTGCAATAGTTGAAGCTCTAGATGTGAAAACAATGGCAGAGCAATGGAAGGCGTTCTCCATTATATGCGAAAAGTACTCGACTAGTTTGAAAGATAAACGCATTTACCAGGATTGTATAAAAATTCTAAGCTCTATGATTGAGAATAATTTGAAATTTGCTGTTGAGGTTCGTATCACAGCGCGTTGGTATTGATGTTCTGTCTTTCCGGTTTAGAGTTGCTATTTAAACCACTGCTTCTACTAATTATCTGTCAAACTTAGCCGGGTTTGCTATTTAAACCACTGTTCTTACTAATTACTGTCAGCTTTTTGATTAATAATTGTCGAAAACACTATATCTACAGGCGTTTGTCAGGACTTCCCATGAGATGGATGATATCATTGCCTAACTACTTGCCAACTTGAATATGCACGTGGTTTTTTTGGAAATACGCACCGTTTTTAACGTAAGTAGCATAAACTTCATTTTAAGTGCTGTTGACTGTGCGAAATCCGGAAGGCATTTTAGTCGACTAGATCCTTAGTACAGAGCATGTGTAATTTATCTTGTGATTTAGGGCGCTCCTCATAATAAAACCTGTTCGTATTGATGGGTATAATAACCTACAAAAATATTGTCAAATTAAAATGTCACCAAGTATAGACATTTAAGGATGATTAGAAAAGAATTATAGTTCAGTTCCCACACATGATTAGCAGCAGGTATGTACCTATGATACGAAAGATTCAGCAACTTATTATAGAAGGATTATAGTACAATAAAATTAATTAGGCGACTTTTTCTTTGTGTTACTATATATTACTGTATTATATCAATATGTGAGTTATGCGAAATTTGTTCCTGTGTTAAGGCCAGATAACGTCAACTATCCTTTTCATTTTTTATTCAAAATCATAATAGAGTCACAGTTTGTATTGCAATCTGAATTTGAAAAAGTGATCGGAAAATAAATCGCGAGCAAACATTTGGAAAAACTAGAAAATGTCAGGACACGTATTTATTTCTAATTTTAGTCCGGACTAGACATATGAGTATAACACCCTTGAAGTTTACTACATAAGGGCTAGCACCTAGAGTTGTAACGTTGTAAAGTTGTAAACAACGGGTTGTATTCAACTTAATAGAATATGTAACATGCCTACATTCACACTTATCGCGCTGCACAAACATCGTACATAATAAACTGGTACAACCTATCGAGCTGTATAAAGCATGTATACACTCTTATGTATATATTTCAGTCGAACGTGAAGTCCAGCAGTTCGACGTGGGTGCGCCTCATTTGTGTGGAAATCAATTAAAGTAATTTTAATACATATTAATATTAATATAATAATTTATATATATTAGTAACGTAATATTTAATGCATAATATATACGCTCATTTAAGATAATTTTCGATTGGACTAAATTCACTTCCTGACTTAAATTCACAAATCTCTCTTATAATAAATAATATTCACATTTTATAAGAATGTTTTGTCAAGCTCTTTTAACAATCATTTTATCGCAAAACGAGTATAATATATGCTAATTAAAATAAGATATAATATCTATAATATATCCGAATGAGATATAATATATATAATATCTGCTAATTAAGATATGCTGTCAATTAAGATAATTTTTATGAGGTATTTACCTGTACCTATAATGTGCGCCCCTTTCGTATTGCATTGCATTTCCGAACAAGTTTTAGGTAAAATTCATTTCAGTTTAATAATCTATTAGTTATGTGAACTGAGGTTTACACCTCATAATTGTTATTTAATATGCGTGAATTATTGTTATCAAAAATGAAATTATATATTGTAAGTTTATATTAAACTTAGTTATATTAAGTGAATTGTTATATGAAAAAGTTTGTATTAAATAAAATTATATTAAACGAGGGTTAGGTTAAAATATAAATATAATAAATATTTATATGATGCACTACACCCGTTCGACGTATAAGGGTTAAAGGTGATGGTCTATTTAACTTATCATAAATATAAATTGTATTACTTATGTAGGTGGTCAGTATTCCCTTCGTGAATAAAATTCATTATGAGGAGTATACCCAGCTATTAATGTAATTTGTAGTTTAGTGTTAAAACAATAAGATAAACGTAACATTTAAACATAAAAAATCTACCTAGAGCTTGATTAAAAACATTTTTATACACAATGTTATTTGTAAAATAATAACAAACTCGCATTTAACTATATTTTTTTCATTTTAATATGTTATACACCTGTTTTTTCTATGACTTTTTACAAAAGATAATAAAATTACCAAAAAAAATTATTTTAGTTCTTGTCGTACTTACTATCTGACACTTTTAGCTCTGTATTTGGTAGTAAGGTAGTACTTTCAAATGTGCAAGTTCTTCCCCGCTCCTACATTGGATGTTAGCGCTATATTTTGTTGCCGCACAGAGTTATCACCATTTAGAGGGATCTTTTTTTGTACGAATGTAGGTAATATCTGATGGATTATTAAAAATCGTAGAACAACATTTGTTGTTTATGTTCTAAATAGAGTTCTGGGAGGTTGTTAGCATTTTACAAATTACTCTGTATAGTCTTCATAAATGTGCAGTGAATTATGTATATTTAGTTAAATGAAAAACACGGTCCTAAGTATCTAGATTGTGTCCTAAATATCCAATCAAATAATTTGAAAAATAGAATTGAAGTTCGATTCTACGAGCCGCGCTCAGTGGAATGTTTTTTCAAGGAGTAGGAGTATAAGAAGCCGAAAAAATGTACATTTTCGGTAGCATTTGTACTATACTCGTTCAAGTATATTTTAATTCAAAGTAATTGTTGGCGATTTGCATTGTGCCATTCTTCGCCGTAACATTTTCGTTTTGGCTTGGCTTGGTTGCTTTTCAAAACTATAGGTCCATTTTTATATTTCACTGTTCCCATTAAAATAAAAACAATGTGAGTTATGCATAGATATATGAAAACTGCGGGAGGCATTGGAGTGTAACAGAGAGAACCGGGTTTCATTTTAATATCTTCAACCGTTAAGTTCACTTCTTTTTCATATATACGATACAAACAATTCCTACACAATCCTACTCCCAAACTTACATCTACACACAAACTACTACCCACGCTACGGCTAAATTTGATAACTTATGTGCTACTTAAATTATTATTGAATTGATATTCAATTATTTTTTATGTGCAATTACTCTACTAGTTTCTTATAATTATTAATACAAAGATCGAGTATACAGAAAAAATCCTTCGACTGACGTCTTCTAGCATAACGTGCCAGACGCTATACCAACTAAGCCACGGAACGAACCAGCGGACCTCTCATAGAGTGCGCTACGACCAAAAAGTCGTTGAAAAACCAAATACAAAGACGCGACAACAAAAACACACAGATAAATTCGTGAGGTCCGCTGGTTCGTTCCGTGTTGGTATAGCGTCTGGCACGGCATGCTAGAAGACGTCGGTTCGAATCCGGCCGGATCGAAGGAATTTTTTCTGAGTATTCGATTATTGTATTAATAATTATGCACTACTTGTTATTGTTCATTTTCACGAAATAAGTAGATGTTAAAAAATTGAATATAATCGATAACGCGATTCATTTCTCCTACCTTAGGAGTCTGGGATCGCATCACTGTGCTGTTGACTATTTTGTGACCATAAACTTATTGTTTTTATTCAAAACATGTTACCATGCAAAAAACACAAACTACTGGGCCAACATCAATCTACACAACTACGACATACCCAAGAAGCAGGAGGATATCGAGGGAACGGTGCGATACCCTTGGTGGCGACATTGCTGGGTAGCTCTTGCTTGATCCCTCTCTTGAGCCTTTGTTTTCTTCTCTCCCTCGATTTGGCTCTTAGCATAAGAGCTGCCTGCATACTTGCCAGTTTTGTGGCCGTGTGAACCGCGCACAAGAAACTCAGCCACCGGCTAAGAAGCGTCCGGCAGGCCACACGGCCGAAGCACTCCGCGAGCACTATTTTACAGTGACGTATCAAATTTTTATCAACACTGTTCTTTTGTAATTGTCACTTTTATCACTTTATGAGTAAAGTTTTAAATTGAACACTCGCGATTTTAGATTTTAGCTTTAGGAAAATTAACGCTAAGGCTAGCGCGACTAATTTTACTTTTATTAGCGTAAATTTTATTAAAATTTAAAACAGACTTACAATTTTTATGTACAATTCAAACATCGATATCACTCTACGTTAGTTCCATCACAGAATTGATTACTTTCGATATATCTCACTTGTAGAATGCTTTTTAGAATTGAGTAAAGATAGGCACGAGAAAGGCGCGAAACTACTTATATTTTATTTTTTAATAGCTAATTGAACCTTTTTTAATTACAGTGGTCGTTATCTTATAATACGATATGTTTATTGTGTGAAAAGAATAATGGAAGCAAGCGCAATTTGGCGATTTTTGTTTTGTATATTTTATTTTGTTTAAATAGTTTAATTTGTAGCACTGTCACTCATGTTTCGTTCCGCACATCAAGTCGCAGTCTCTGGTTCTTTAACACCTGCCATCGGACGCTACTCTTCCCTAGGTGTCGCTTTTTCATGGCCGGCCCACTTTTGACACTTCACTAAATAATACTTTCCAGTAACACATGTTATTTCTGACTGTCGCACCACTACTATATACTGCTCAACATAAAACCAACGAGTCGTGGCGAGCTTTAAGGGACTTAGGAATTAAAAGGTGACGGATCAGCGACACAAACACTAAAACCTAGTTGCATTGTCTCACGTCCTAAACATACGCATGCTTTTTAAAACAACCCGTACCTACATACATTTTAACATAAGGTATTACAAGTACCTACTTACAGGTATCTATGGACCTAAATCAAGTTGTAACAACCGCTATAAAATGATAAAATACACACAGCACACAGATTACTTATGGCTAATTACAATCATGCTTAAACTAGTATACATAGAGACATGGACACGACATTTACAGGCATGTAAGTATACCTCGACGACGTCGCATGGCGAATGTGGCTCGGAGAGGGCAGAGAGGGGGCGGGGCGGGTGGACGTTTGACGGCGGCGCGAGTAGGCGAGATTCCCAGTGCTGGCAGGAGTATGCGCGGACGCCGGTGGGCGCGGGGTGGACGGGGGTGCTCGGGCTCGACGGCGCGGGCTGGCGGCCGTGCTGGCGCGCCTGCGTTTGATAAACCACAGCATTTGAAATAATCCATTTTTTCCAGTCTAAAGTCGCGTATATTAGAATAGAACTCCCACTTATTGTTTTACATTTTAGACACTTTTACGGATCATGTATAAGTGTGCTAAAATGGGTTTAAGTTTACAGAAAGATGTTAAGGAATACCATTACTACAGGATTATGTTTGTCATTTCAGAGACTTGGCTTCATCAAGTGCAAAAAACAAATTGACCGTGGGTAATGTCAGAGAATGACTCTGTTGAGAGTGTATAACCACGTACACACTATGATTTTTGGTAACATAACATGCAGCGGTTAGGGCGTTTACGCACTATATCCGATTCGCATCGAAATGTCACAGGGATTATTTTAACTCTAGGTGTACAAGGGATATACGTATTTTCTCGGAATCGAATAGGACTTAGTGCACAAGGGACATCCGAAGTGGGTCCGAGTTCCTTAGATTTGGATTTGGAGAGACTACGATAATACGAAGAATACAGATGTACCCGGCTTAATAAGAATGAGGATAAATTACCTTTCGGCCCGCGAGCGAGGCGCCGCCCGCCGCCGCGTACATGCACCGCGGCCGCTAGCAGGCGGCTAGCGCGGCGCGCGCGCACAGGGCGACGCGTCACTGCGCGCGCCCAGCCCCCCCACACCGGCGCCGCCTGGCCCGCCGCATCCGTCCTCTAATCACCAACACCTATACACCGTAACATGATTAGAAATTTGCACTATAAGCAATCAGCTGCCAGTACAAACCGTCAGCATGCTTCAACACGTGACCATATAGGTACTGACAAAAGCTTATAACTTAAATGAGTAATTTTTAAAATGAACATCAAGTCTTATCCTTACTTTAATTTTACAAATAGAGAATTCTGAAATTAAATTACTTTACAAAATCAATTATCTTCTAAATTACGATACGTATTAAACGCCCCTATAACTCTAAAACAAAGTGATAACACAAAACTTCACACGCAACATTCTGAAACACGAACTTGTCTTAATACTTCAAACGGTGAAAACATGCAACAGAATAATAACTCTATCTACAAACAAAGTCCTCAAGGTCTGTCAAAGTATAAAATAAACCATGTGTTTCATTTGGGCTTTCGGAAAGCATTCCGTTATTGAATGTTTACAGTTTTATTCGTCGGAGGCATGTTATCTTTTTACGATTTCCGTCCCGTGAGTCGCATACAAAAGATTAAAGATTTTTCACGTGAAGAAGTTTTTCGAGAAAAGAAACTATCGTTAAACCTGGTAAATTGAAAATATTTATAGTCTCTTCAAACTATTTTACAGTAATATATATTTTCAGGCTCTACAGTCAGTCAGTCAATTACTACACAATTACTACCTCCGTGGCCAAACGATTACAATGCTGGACTGCCACGCAGATCTCCCGGGTTCGATTCCCAGGCCGGGAGAAATATTCGTATGGCCTACATTTATTTCTCTCGTGAGTTTGGATATAATTTGTGATTGTCTATGTTTGTGTCCATGGCATCCGCGATATAGGGTTTCCCCTAGTGCGGAGTATGTTAGTAAAAATGCATATATTAGCGAGATTTTTAATGTTATTGCGAGACAAAGTGAACGCTTATATTTTAAGCGAGTTCTTCCGTCATCATCTTCATTTTCGATCATATAACTAAGCATTTCATTAGTATGGTATACATACTATAATGAAATTAGTAAACCATATTGTATTGCAACAAAATTGTAGGGGTAGTAAACAGTAAACTTTTATACTATTATATAAGTAGGCGACCGCGGTGGCCCAACAGTTTGCACTGTGAGCGCTCTATCAATTTGGGACGTGAACTTTTCCAAATTGGTTTTGGATTGTGTGCTCTAGGAAGTGCCCCAGAGAGAATTAGGTATATTGCTCTGGTTTCCATTATACAGGGAACTTACTAGATTGAGACCAGAAAATTGGTATGATTGTCTGGTTCATTATTATTATTTATCTATTGTTAAAAAACGTTTCTTTTTACGATAACAATTGACAGGACGAACAAGCGTGTCTGTGTTTAAATCGCAAAGATTTAAGAGGCACTGCCACTGCGCCCATCACCCTGAGACATGGTGACAAGTTCAACGAGCCTGTAATTTTACCAGCACACTTCAAAATCGGAACCCAATAATGCTCACTGTCGGCAGATATACGCAAGATGGTAATACTTTTCCAGACCATTGACTTACAATTATATGGACGTCGGGTCCGCGCTAAGAAGTGTCCGAACTTATAGGGCGTTAAAATCGTATACAGAGCGTCATTCACGCTTTAGTCTTCGTTTAATCGACTGACAGTGAAGCAAGCAAAATTAGACAGTACTGCGATGACATTACAATTTAAATTCAACGTTTTAGCTTTTTCATATTCCTTTACATGTCACTACGTTTAAATAGGTTGACTTGGGACATTTTTTTCGTGGTTTTTGTATTAGACCCGTCGTCCATTTATTTGTAAGTCAATGTTCCGGACGAACTCTTTCACAAGGAGCTCTCCTACTACTTACTATTCACGTTTGAACTTAAACTATCCACTGTATATTAAATGCTTAAAGGTTATATTTAATACTAAGTAAGTCAATTATAATACTTAATGACATGACATTAATAGACTAATCAAACATACGAGTAATAATTATAACTTTAAAAAAAATAGACCTCAAAAGTTTGTGGAATTACTGTTTCTCAAGTTTCATTGGAAATCGGTTAACGAGAGATGGGTGAAATTCAATAAACAGGATTCATCCACTAATGAACCACCCCTAGAGGTGGAATGTTTTCTTCAAATTAGAAAGGAATAGTACCCTTTCTACAAAAAAATAATCATCGAAATCAGTTCACAAATGTCCGAAAAACCGCGTAACATAAAAAAGTACAGTCAAATTAAGAACCTCCTCCTTTTTTAAAGTTTGCTAAAAATATAAAATTGATAGGTATTTTCCTAAACAGAGAATTCAAAATTTTATAGTGATACATAACCTTTATACAAAGGACCTGAACTTAAATAATCTGCGGCCAGGTTTACAGTGTCAAGTTTAATGGAATAAGCTAACTGAGGGCGCTGGAGGCCCATGTAACCTACCCTAATCTAAATTAATGCACAACAGTAATTCTAAGTGCTGATTATGTACAATGTCAAGGTATTGCGATTAAATTTTTTATAATGTTGTCGAACTTTGTTGAATCATGTGGAGGAGGAGAGGAATAGAAGAATATAATATCGGGAAATGTGACGATGTCAAATCACATTACAAAAAAGAAAGCAGGAGGTAATTACCTTTTATATTGAAGGAAAAGTGAAAAGGAGAATTTAGAAAGAAAAAGAGTTAAGGACATTGAAAACACCTTTGTGAGTTAATTCCAATGCACTTTTACGAACCTCCATTAATATCAATCCCAAAAATGATTCGTTGCATTATACATGCATCCGTTCTTTTTTTTTCATTTCTGTTTTTTTTTTTTTATTGAGGGACAAACAGTTACACATATATAAAAAAATACATATTTTAAAATTAACTTATAAATAAACCCATAGCCCCCTAAATATACATTAAATAAAACAAAAAGTAGGTAAACAGAATCTGATACACAATAAACAACACGGAAGAAATAAAAGTGTGTATGTGGTCTATGATAAACAATTTCAAGTTATATATAGCCACAGACATATAGACATAACACATACAACACAAAGAACTCGTGCACAGAAACAACGGAACAGAAAAAACATATTCAGCAATATGCGTATTTCGTCTTGCGAATACTGCAAGAGTGCACACAGAGGTAACTCGCTGCGCTCAGGACCGATCGTGTCATTACGTAACGGAACACAAGTCGTAATTGAATTGAAAAATAATTAGTAACAATCATTGACTTACAATTATATGGACGTCGGGTCCGCGCTAAAAAGTGTCCGCACTTGTAAGGCGCTAAAATCGTATACAGAGCGCCACACTCCGCTTTAGTCTTCATTTGTTCTACTGACAGCGCGATACTGCGATTACATTACAATTTAAATTTCGAATAGGTTGACTTGGGACATTTTTTTCGTGGTTTTTGTATTAGACCCGTCGTCCATTTATTTGTAAGTCAATGCTAACAATGCATTGAGTGAGAAAAAAAAAAGTTAAATAAAAAGAAGTATAGTCTTTGCAATCCATCAGTGATTTAATTTCTTATTTACTTATTTATGTTATTCTTTTATTTTTTATGATGCCAAATCATGAGACGAACAAGTCGTGCGCCTGGTGGTAAGCGACACGCCCGTCTATAGCAATTTAATTCGTAAAGATCTGAGGGGTATTGCCATTACTCCCGTTACTTTGAGATAGTTGGCAAACCCCATGTGCCCGTACTTTCACTTAACAATGGTCACATTAGTGCTTGGCAGCAAACTCTTTCTCATGGAGCTCTACTGCTTCTAATGTATTTGTAATTGTATGATCCAAGTTTGTAGAAATAAACGATTTAATAATACATCATTATATTGATCTACTATTTCGCTTGAGAGTGAAAGCTAAATAAATAAATAATAATAATAACGCACACACTCAATATAGCCCCGCACTAGGGAAACCCTGTGTCGCGGGTGCCATGGATACACATATAGACAACCACAAATTACACCCAAACTCATGAGAGAAATTAATGTATGCCATACAAATATTTCTCCCGGACCGGGAATCGAACCTGCGACCTCTGCGTGGCAGTCCGGAATGGTAACCGTTCGCCCACGGAGACAGTTAGATGCACGCGGTCGCTGCGCGGCGCTTCTTAAAACAGAGAATCGTGGGTTCGAAATCTAGCGTGCACCTTTGAATTTTCGAATTTACTTGCGACATTTAATTTTACATTTACCATGAGCTTCTCGGGGAAAAAAAATTCAGATGTAAAAACACACTCGTAATATGGGTAGTATGGGTTCACGGTACAGTCTATGCCCTAAGATACCTGACCCCCTGACCATCTATTTGGTTCTGAGTAGATGAGTGTGAAGAAAGGTGTTAAACAATCTTAACCTTTAACCTGTGAGCCATAAGATTTATTTTGGTAAACCATACCAAAATGAACTCATTATATGGGAATGACGTTTAAAGAACCTTGTTAAGCCAATTTGAAATTTAACTACATTACATAAATACAAATTTTAACCAAAAAGCTGGCATTCCTATGCGTAAGAAGGCTCCCAAAACCAAAAGTCGCCTGGTCCTCTCCTGTACGTCTGCGTAGTCTGGGCAACAACTAGAGAGTATCTTACATCGATTACGGCAAATCCTTCCACGACGATGGCAACCATTAATACGGTAAGAAAAATAATTAAAAATAGTTGGATTTCTAATATGTCAATCGTTAGAAAGCGCTAAAAACAAAATATAAAATAAAAAATAAAATAAAAAATAAAATAAAAAATAAAATAAAAATAAAAATAAAAATCATTTATTTCGGGCGACATTGACCCATTGAAACAAAAATACATTTCAATTAAAATAAATAAAGTTAAGTTCAAAATAATTAATATAATCGGAATAAAAATCGTTCAAAGATTTAAAAAAAAAACCAAAGAAGTTAATTGTACATTTTAACAAATGTAAGTGACTTCCGCGTCACGCTATCTGAGTACGTACTGAGTCTGCCAATATTGC